ATACTTGTACGTTGTATGGGCGTTTTATGCAGGAGTCCGACTTGAGAAAAAATGTATTTACAAGAAGTTTGAATTTACATCTTCCTTATGGCATATACGACATAACTACGAAATTATGCCCGCAGTTTCAATATCCCTGCAACTGAAACCGACAAACATGCAAGAGAAGCGAGGCTCCCACGTTAGGTCAGTCTTGGTTATGCAGATTCCCCGTCGTGCAACATCAAGCCCAGGTTATGCGGATTCCCAGTCGCGCAACATCAAACCAAGTCATGGTTTAGCAACTAAGTACTGTCGGCTTGAGACGCTTGGGGATTGAAGTTTCGGGGGTTGTCGGGCTTTCCAGCCCAGCAAGCCTAACAGACAGCCCTGGGTATGCGATTAGATTCAGCAACATTGGTGTCGCTCTCCTAGATCATGTGCGTCCTGTGTCTGTGTGTGGCCTTCACAGAAAGTCAGAGTACATGTTGTCATCATCATGATGCTCTTGACTCTTGACTGTTAGGTTTAAGTTTATGTTTCCTTAATCATGTCAACAACAGTGTGAAATACAGTAACGATGATGATAATAACTTGAGTAGTTGCAGTCGTCGTAGTAGTAGTTGCTGATGGTGTTGTTGTCGTGACTTTCCTTCTGCCGGGAGCCACCGGGTTCTTTTGGTGCTCAAGGCCCATGGACAAAGAAGCCATGGGCATCCCCTAGCGCCACCTGCAGGGCCAGGATTCACTGAGCCCACAGCCCTGGACCCCGGATCTTAAGAAGCCTTGGGGCAAGACGGAAAGCAATTCAACCCTTTGAGCTCTAAACCCTAGGATGCACCACCCTGCACTCTAAACCTTCGGGGGCAAAAGCAGGTCCGCTGGATGTCCACTGTTGTTGCTCTGGGTGTTGCCACGTTGTAGTTGCTTTGTGTCAGGGCGGAGAAGCCTCGCAGTAAGTACCTGTGTCACAAGAAATATGCACACTGAGTACGAGGCATCGATTATGTTATAGTATGGATGTCTAAGTAATTAGCACTACCATCTTGGGGGGTTCCTTATTATAGATATAGTATAATTGCCCCAAAATCCTATTCTAATTATTAAGACCCCTCGATTAGGCTCCTGGTTGTCCGAAGCTTTCATTTCTGAGCTGGGCCCTGCACTTACGAGGAGGCAGAGGGCTTCCAAATAATGTGGAGAACCTCTGATGCAAGGCTCATCTCCACAGCCCTAGCAGACACCCTCTTATGACCTCGAAGTGCTCTTATTGTAACCCTTGTAGTGGTCTTCTGGTCGCCTCATAGTCATCTTTTTTTAGAGCACCAAGCCGGACTTTAGATTGGGGTCCACGGCTACGCGATCACCTCGCTGGGGCACACGAATTCACCAAGTCAGTGCAGTCTAATTCGAAGATGTCTATATTCGTGGCCGTGGCCTTATTGAGCCTTGACTGCGACGAAACGCCCCAAAGTCCCTCCGGTAATCCTACAGCCCGAACTGCTAATCCAACCGTGTGAACTAATGTCTTAAGTGTCGACTGAGTGTCTTCCAAAGCTTGTCTTCTCTTGGCTGCAGGTTGAGGGTGGGTTCAATGGTTCCATAGGAAACAAGTAAGGGCCCTTGCACTCTCCAGCTTGAACGCTGGCCAAGGTAATTAAGTCATGTATAATAGTTTGTAAGGGTAGCAGCACATCGTAAGATTCCTGCAAACCCCTGCAGATATGTATAGCAGAATAAACCCAAAACCTTTTAGTGGACTCGAAACCTGCAGATGTGATTTTTGGAACCGCAAGCCACCACAATCCGCTGAAGGTGACCCTCCCCAGGGCCCACACAGCTATTCCAACCGCGCATTGATCCACAAAATGCCCCCAAAAGCCCCCAACAGTTCGGTTTCGTGTTTAGGACAGGGTTTCAGTACTGTTCGTGGTTTCGGCTACGGAATTTCCGGTTCACCGTTTACAATGTGTTGTTCTGGCTTGCGCATTTCGGTCAGGGTTCAGGGTCCGTGTGTAAGTTAAATGGTTTGATTTATACGGCCCTTCATGACAGCCTTGAAGCCGTGAAAACGCCTGAAAACCCTCATTTACAGGAGCCCTCAAGAAGCCCCCTCGCAGAGCCCTAAATACACGCTTGAGGGAGACCGCATAACCAGAGAACCCAAAGCGCACAAGGTTTAGGTTTGGTGTACACATTGTAAACCTTGAACGATGATGTCATTGAGTATGTTCCTTAAGCATGGGATATTGGGCCGTCGGGTACAGAAAACCCCTGTCGATTGAGAACCCATAATAACATAATAAGTCAGCGGAAAGCCCCCTCTGTAAAACCCACAGAAAATCCCGCGAGGCACCACTGAAGCTTTACGCACCCCTGGGCTCGCTGGCGAAGCCTAAACCCGAAGCCTCGAAGCCCGAAGACCCCGAATCCCGAACCCTGAAGCCCAAGCACGAGATCCCTAAACCCCTAAACCCCTAAGCCCCTAAACCCCTAAGCCCTAAATCCTTAACCCCGAAACCCTAAATCCTTCAACCCTAAACCCGAAACCCCCAGAAAGGAGCTGAAAAAAAGCCGTAAACCCTAAACCCTTCAACCCCAAACCTAAAACCTTAAAAAAAAGCTGCAAATAGTCCTAAGCCCTAAACCCAAGGAGCGGCCGGAAGTCGGTTGTCGAAGTGGGCTTCGACACGACCATCGACGAGCTGAGGCAGCGAGCACAGCCGGACTTAGGCCGGCTCTTGGCTCTGGGCTTGGGGCAGGAATTTAGGGTTTGGGGCGTAGGATTCAGGGTCTGGGGTTTAGGATTCAGGGTTTAGGATATGGGGTTTCGGGGTCTAGGGTTCGGGAATTCGGATTTAGGGTTTAGGGATCCCCTAAACAGCGGCACCATGAAGCTCTAGACTTCAGGTGGGTCTTAATGCGGCCGGGGCCTCATCGTCTAGACCGGGGCTCAGGTGTCTTGCTTTAATAGGGAAACAGCTGTCAGCAGATAATGTGTTGCTTGTTCTTCTGGTGACATCAAGGCTGTCTGGTACTCAAATACGAGGAACATATCTTAAATTTCGCATAGATCCTTCCTCCAATTTGTGAGGTATTCCTTCATCAAGCGCTGGGAGTGCCTGTGTTCCCCTGTTATTCCCTGGGGCCGTTTGTGCCGGAAGATCCGGGCCGGTCCTTCAGACATGGCGGGGATCCCTCAACACCCTTGTGGAATCGGAATCCTACGGAAAGGCCCGGTAGTAGCCCTACCGGATTTAGGACTAAGGCTTGAACTCCAAGAGCTCGTAACGCTGCGGGTGATCCACAGCTTCAAGGGTTGAGGATTTAGGTCTGAGCAACTAGTACTCTCGTCCTCGTAGAACCAAAACGATACTCTAACTATACTATTACAATGATGTTCTCAGAGGCCCGGAATCTTGGCAGGTACGGGAGTGAGCAAACTGGTGAGCGTCGCCGGTGAAGTTCTTCCCCTCTCGATCACGGTAGCACCCCGGCAGCAAGGTGACAGGGCCGTAATGTTAGCGGTGAAACTTCAGGCTTTTCAGGCTCTGTGTGTAGGTTTCGAAGGCAACAACACCCCTAACCTAAAATCCCGAAGCAACACCAAATAAACCCGAAGCTGCAGCTGCCAAACTCGATGAAACCTTTCGCAAGCCCGGAAGCTGGACCCACCCCATCATGTGACCTCCGGGTGCTGGTGGTTCCGGTCCGGAAACGCTATGAGAAAAGTGTTCGTGGTTTAGGGGTTTGGGGTCAAGGGATAGGGGGTTTAGCGCATTTCCGTACAGTTCGGGTTTGTTTAGCTTAAGCTTCAAAGCACATGTTTGTTCTCCGATGTGGCTCTTGAGTTTTAGAGCTTCAAAGCTCCGGGCTGAGAAGCCCGCATGGAAAGCCAAGGTCTCGGGTTTTGGGCTTAAGATGGGTTTCAGATTAAGTAGGGAACGGGGTCTTCCCGCCTTAGAAATTTCATTCCTCAACCGCTGACGAACAGACACGCACAGCAATACCGCAGCGTTGGCTGTGGGTGTTTATAAATACAGTTTCTCTGTGGCTTTAGGATTTCGATTGTTGGTGTGGCGAGGTTTCGAGCTTATGGCGTACTGGTTCCGGGGCAGTATGTTTTTTTTCTTCTTTTTTTATGGTATCTCGATATTCCAGTGTATGTGTATATATATATACACATGTATAAGCTTTTACATAGTTGCATGTACACAAAAGTTGGTTTAAATAAGAATTATAAACTCTATACCTTATCAGCATCTTTAGAATATAAAGGAGGTTGTTGTTGTTGTTGTTGCAGCTGTTTTTTCGGTTTCACCACTCTAGGCCCAAGCTGGACTTCAACATGGTGACACTCTCGGTGCGATCGTGACTCGGATTCTATAAAGTTTGTCTCTATAACATCCACGGGTCTTTGCGGTTCTGCGGCATTTCTTGAACGATCTGCCCAATACCAGATTCGCATATCGTTGCATCTTCGTGAACCTTACAAACCCTCCAAACCTATGCCTCTGGTTGACTTGAACAGTCGGGCCCCGTGGCGAGTCCCAAGTTCGTCCACCTAGAAATCGTAGGGTATTCAGGTTCAGAAGAAATGCAGTTCTATACACCAGATGGAGTCCCGTGGTTGAACTGACTTGAGTTTCTCTAACTGCGATACTTCCTAGGGGGCCGCCGTCCATAGCATACCCTGGAAGGCGTGATAGAGGCGTTTGGCGAGTCCGAGCTCGAGAGCGTAAACCCTGCAACCCTGAACCTTGCTTGGCTTGTGCGAGTGTGAGTGTCATAGCCGTTTGGCTCCAGCCGTTCGTTGTTTCCGTGAGCCCCGCAAGCTAGCTTTGTGATTGTCGGCGCATGAGCATCCGACAAACTGTGCATTCGCTAGTCAATGCCTAAGTCTGGCATGCAGCATTTCGGTCCAGTTCATGCTGGTAATGCTTGGAGGAGGACGTCTCACAGGACGCTTGTTGTCGCTGTTTGGTAACGTTTTTGCCGCTTACCCGGTTCCTGTTGCAGCCATGGCCATGACCCGTGCGAGCCGGCGCAAAATCGTGCGCAAGGCTTACAAAGAGGCAATGAAGGATGCTCGGAAGTCAGGATCTTTCAGCATGGTAAAGGATGACCTACCGAGGCATGTGCCGTGCGGAAACGGAAGGCGCATCGACCCGGAGGATGGCAAAGCCTATTCCTTCCAGGAGTTGGTCGAGTACTACGGTACAGGCAGTGGCTATGGACTCGCACGAATCTATGAATACTTTCTTTACGATTGCGCCGCTATCCAGGATCCTCCGTCGCCGGGCGCAGCACACATCCTCTTTGAAACGCCATTTATCATGGCATATCTCACTGTCCGCGAGATGGCGTCGCTGCGGGCTGCTCAGAAGCATTATCTCTGGGCTGGGTTTCTCATCTCCCCGTGGATGCAGCGACTTGAATCAAGGGCAGCATTTGAGCTGGCAAACGAATGTGTTCTTCCTTTGTTGAACCTCGCTGAAGCGCATCATATTGCCAGAAGTCTGCACGCAGATGATCTCGCGGAATTCCTGTGGTCGCAAGCACGCTGCAGCGCAAATCTGCGCAACTACACACGTTCATCAGATCCGGCCGTTTGCCGATTTGACTGCAAAAGCTCGGGCCTTGGCCAAGATGACTTAACAACGAGGGGCGGCAGCAGCAGCAAGGGCACACCGGCATCAGACACCCCGTCGCCGGGGGATGCTGCTCCTTCGATGCCGACACCCTCTGACCAGTGCCCATCCACCTCGAGCATCGGTGCTGGAGCCCTCAGCGCTCTCCGCCCTCGTCCACCTCCGCCCCGTTGTCCTCCGCCGCCTGCTGCCATCGGCCTCGTGGTCGAGAACATCCCGGTGCTCAGTGGCAAGCCCTCAGCGGCCTTTTCGAGGGACCTGTGTGACTGATCGAAGGCCTCCGGAGCACCAGCGTGCGCTTTAGACTCGCCGTTGCAACAGCTCTTCGGGGAAACAGGACTGGTAAACATGGCAGTGTTGTTCGGTCTACCTTCGACTCCACGTGGCCGGAAGTGGCATCCACAGAAACTGTAGATCTGTGTTTGTCGGTATGCAAGATAGATGCCAACAGCAGAGTATGTCACACGCCATCCAGTGAGCAGCATCCCAACAGCCCAAACCATGACCGTTCTCATCCCCTGAACCCCAAGCTGCAATACCCCTAAACCCCAAAGCCCTGGTCCAAGCACGAAATCCCCACACCCTTGTTGGGCCCGGCCCCACCCATTCATAAAACTTTCTTTCCGACATCCTGTAAAGTCCTCGCAACATCGATAAAGCCACAAACCTTGCAAACAACACCGCTTCTGGGATCCGTGTAAAGCGCCGAGGTACGGCGACAAGAGCTGGTACCTTCGCGGGGAGCCTTTGCACTCCTTCGGGCAAATGGTTCAGTACTGATGCTCGGGCAACTGTCGGCAACTGTTTGTTTTTTGGCAAGGAGGCGAGGGATGGTCTAGGTTTCGCGTGGGTTCAGGGTTTGGGCGGGTTTAGGGGTTTGGGTCTTTTGGTTTTTCAATTTGTTTTTGTTGTCGGGGGTGGGCAGGGGGAGGGGGTCTTGAGGGCGCCAGGGTTTGCAATTGTGCATTTTGTGCACTTTCCTAAGCTCTCAGCGAGTAAATCTTTGATCGCTTTGGATATTATGATCCGCCGCTAACCTTTAAAGTTCGGGCTGCTGGACTTGCAAGGTTTTCAACCTTTTCATTTTGTCCATACGTTACGGCTGTTTGTATGGATATTTGGGCTTTGCTTCGCCATCAAGACTTATGACCAGTTGTTTGCCATCACTTGCTTGCTATCCGTTGTGGTACATGTTATTTGGTGTCGGTTTCATCGTTGCTGCCGCTGAAATCATCGTCGTCGTCATAGTCATTGGGGGTTGTGGTGGTTGTGGCGGTCGTTGTTGTTGTTGTTGTTGTTGTTGTTGTTGTTGTTGTTGTTGTTGTTGTTGTTGTTGGCGGTTGTTGTCGCTGTTGTTGTCGTTGTTGTTGTTGTTGCTGCTGATTTTTGCTATTGCAGTTGCAAAGCCTCCTGTTTGTTGTGAGTTGCAGCCGTCGATGCAGTTAGTATGCACTGTCGGTCACGATCGTAGTATGCTTATTTCGGCAACTACGACTGCTAGATGACTATTATGTTGTTGGCCTCGGCGAATGTTTCATCCATAACTCGGGCCAAGGCCCATGGAAATCCCATGGAACCTCCTTGGTAAACTTAAAACCCCCTCAGCATAGAGACACAATCCTGAAAGCTCTAAAGGGAACCCCAGAAAGTTGGAATATGAATTAATGGTAGGATCCCCTCTAAATTACCTTAAAGGGGATACGATAATGATATTCCAACTTTCTGGCTTCTACCGTATGCTTGTGAAGGGGTTTCCAGGTTTCGGATGCAGGCTTCCGAGCCTCCAAGGACTTGGGGACATCCAACCTACCCCAGCTACGGTGGCGACAGCAGCTCCGTGCAAGTCCAGCTGCAGAATGTGAGGCCGGGTAATGTAACGCCATTAAGGATCAGAGCCGGGTTTTGGGGGCTCCTTATTGAAAATATAGTATGATGTACCCTTACGGTTTGAATTAAGGCCCCTACATTTGATGTGGAGTCGGGGTTTCTGTTTCCAGTATCCACCAGAAGCACACCCCAAATAGACTCTCACGAAAATTCTGCAGGACTTCTGCACACTCACCCAAGTCCAAATACAACCGTAGGGCCGTAGGGTTCAGGAAGTTCAGGGTTTCGCGTGAAAGCTTGTTGGCGATCATCTACTTCTGTTCATTGGAATTGACTCAGGGGTCAAGGCTTTGTCAAGGCTTACCGGGTTAAGAGTGGGATTTGGGGTCAGGAGGGTCCTCAACCTGGACCGCATAAGGCATTGAGTAATGGGTACTAGTGCTCTCAAGGAAGCCGGTGATAGGTACAATGTGCTGTACTCAATATTCATCAATATTCTATACAAACCATAAAGGCCTCTATATGAAGCCTTTTCCTGTTTGGTGAAATTTTGAATTCAGTTATCTCGGAATCTCCTACCCCATGGCCCTTGTGTGAATTCAAGTTCGCCGGGAGGGGAGTGCACTTCGAAAAATCATCAAACTTGATATCTTCTCACACACATGGGTAGTTGTCAACATGATGGTCCCTTTTTTTTTTTTTTTTTATTAGGTGCCGTACTATATTCGGGACCCAGAAAGGGACACAATTTTGACAACCACCCACATGCACCGTCCGGTTTCCCGACCAGGAAAGTGAGCGCTTCTAGCTGCGCGTTCGCTGCAATCCTCGACGACAGATCGGTGCCTAAGCGAGGAGTTTTAGATTCGCCATCGGTGCCAGGAACAACTTCAACAGACGTGGGGCCGAAGCACCTTAACGCGCGCTTTGTTTTTGTGCGCAATCCCTGACACAAGAGTTCTGAAGAAGAAAACGTTCTTTTTGTCATCGTGGAGTTGAGGGCGACGCTGCAGGGAAAGGAAAGCGTGCACAGGTCCAAAACTCATCTTCAGCACCCTACACTACTTGATCCAAGGATAGTGTTTTCTATGGTAGAACCAAACATGGTCATACGGGCTGCATAAGTCCATGCTAGAGCTTCAGAACATAAGGGCTCTGCCTCCCCCCCAGACCCAGAACACAGCAGCCTTGATTTCAGAATAGCCTTCATGATCCTACAAGCGGCCACGTCGTCCACCGAGCCGAGCACTTGGCGTCTCAAGCCTTGCAAGTCCCAACGAAACCTAAACCTTTAGAGACCAAACACACGAATCCCCAGGCCTTGCGCACAGCCCCGAATTGGACAGTTGCTTCCAAACTTAAACCTTACCTTCAGAACTAAATGAACATTGAAAAGTCGGGGCTCTAGTTCTCATACGATAGACCCTATATGAGAACATGCGGCCAAAAACTCAGTCCTTAAGGCGAAAAGCCGACTTACTAATTAGAATAGGGTTCCCTCTAAAGGGGTCTATAAGGGATACTGTAAGGGCTATTATAAGGATTGAGTACAGGGGCCTTACTAACTAGAATAGGGGAAGCCTTTTGAGGTCGTGACCTGGGGCGACCCGGAGTCAGGAGGCGACAGCAGCCGCGTGCAGAGTCTGCTGAGGCGGGCTGCCTGGGTTTTGGCCTATCATAGGAGGCCAAAAGGGGTTTTAGCCTATGGGGGTTTAGTAGGGATTAGGGTTCCCGTAATAGGGTTCATATTAAGGGCACAGAGACCTGAAAAGGCAGGTTTTTTGTTTGAGGGCTTCGGATTTGGGGGAGGGTTTGCTCAACAGAGTTTAATTGGGGTCTAGGGTTTAGGGCAGCAGGTGCCAGGGGCTTTTGAGCGGCTTATATGAACTGGCACCGCGGCGGTATATACAATCCCATTTTGCCAAGCCTGCTTTCAACTTGCGGACTCTCGGCTGGCGGCTCATCCGGCTGGCACCCCGAGGCGGACCAACACCCAAAACAGCGGCCTAAACAGTTATGAATACTATTCTGGGGGTTCCTTATTGCAATTACAGTGTAATGGGCCCCAAAACCCTATTCTAATTATTATGGCCCTTATTCTATGAACCCTGAGCCCCAAACACCTGCATTCCCGGAAGTCAGTTTCCTTGAACTCTCTAGAACCCCCATCCCGAGAACGACAAGGAAGCTCTTTTGAATTCGGGTCTCTTTTAGGTTCTGATTTCAGCAAAAGCACAGGAAAAATAGCTACCAGAACAGAAGCCCTGGTCGACACCTGTTCAGTTGCCTACAGCAACCTCACACAAATGCAGAATATCTTAAGGCCTATGCCGCTAAAGCAGGAATGTTCATCATCTGGCGGCCTCCACCGCGGCGTTCGCCGCGATCCTGGCGTGTGGCTCTGTGACTTGGCATGCAGTTGACTCAGGGACCTGGTAATGTAGGAGCCTGATTAAGAAGCCTTGGGCCTTTATATGAATCCTACTATTTTGGGGTTATAGGCCCAGGGTTTCTTAATCAGTTCCTCCATTAAGTATTCCCAAGGTATTTACATGTTGGAGTTGCTTTGTGCTTACGTACTTAGCCCCTGCGATGATGCGTGCGGCATCAGGACCTTATACAGGCCCCTTTAGGGTCAAAGTAGGGCTTTCTTGTAGCGTGGCAGCATTTGCCCTTGCTGGTGGAGTTTGTGAACTTTGGACGTTCCGGGTCTATGCATTTCAAATTAGCTTCTGCGGTGTATGTAGCGGACAACCACGTGGTGCCAACTTCCTTCCACCCGTTGACCCGTTCGTTCCAGTGATGTGCTTTAAATTATAGTAGGGATCCGTATTATTACTATGAGCCAAGGCATATCCCTTAAGTTAAGGGATTTTGGAAGGTCTGGGTAGCTCTAGCCCCTTAGGCCAAAGTTTGGGCTTTAGATGGGGGGTTGGAATATTTTACTATGGAGTCTTGAAGGGATGGTTCACTTCTGCTTCAGGCCCTGTTTCGGCGTAAATCTGTGAAAACATCCTTTCCGTTTCCGCAAAATTCAAAAAACGCTCCTTGCGAGGGATCGCGGGCCCGAGCACATGTACCCTAAATAGTCGGATCCTTGTAAATACCCCCCAAATCCAAAGTGCTCTGAACGCTTGGATTTAGACCAGTCTGAGGTGGTGACCTGGGGGAACACTCACCGCGGAGGCGACTGCCGGCGCGTGAAGGAAGAGCTGAAAAATGTGAAGCACATCGAGGCCCGTGTTCTCCCTGTTCTCCTCACTTGAAATCTGGAACCTCGATCTCATACCTGAATAAGACATTCAAAAGCTTATCCTTGAGACCTGGGTGGGTTCTATGCGGTGGTAGGGGGTCTTGGAGGCAAGGCTGAGTGTCCGAAACGCCACCCAAAAGCTTCTCAGTATTCCTGATTGCCTTACTGAGATAGGGATGGATAAGTATCCCTAACTGCCGAAGCCCCTAAACTCTAAACTCCAACCCCTAGAAGCTCTAAACCCTAAATCCCAAACCGTGTTCTTGGCTCTTTTGCTTTCGGCTCCTGGATCTTAAACCCTTCTTAGACCTTCAAACCACTCGAAAAAAACAACTCAACAGGAGGCCAGGTGCCCATGCTGTCTTGGAGAGACTGTGTGTAGTTTATTTTAGTATCGTCTAGCTTAGTCTAGTATGGTAGAGTAGAGTGCGGTCGAGTATAGTAGAATGTAGTAGAGTATAGAAGAGTAGCCTGTTGCATAGGTAAGTAGCTGGGCCTTTACAGCCGCCCTTCCGAGCCCTGCCTTGTGACGTGTCTTCCCCGTTCCTTTTTTTTTCTGGCACTCCGGGACATGTCTCGTAGAATTTGCCCGGTTGTCAAGCTACTTACCCAGGCCCCTCGGCCCTGCAAGTTATGGATCCGAAGTTGCTGCTTCTCTGTATGAGTAAATCTTCGCAAACCCTGAGCACCGAAGCCCCATTTCATGAGGCGCTGACTAAGGTTTAAACTGTCCAACCCCAATGCCTCTGCTTCACATAAATGCCTGAAGCACTGCCTGCAGGCGTCGCATACAGCCTTCGCCGCACTGCGAAGGGATGGAGTGGTGGCTTGGGCTTGCAGTTGAAATTGGTCTTGTCTGGTCGTAGGGTACGAGAGGAAAAAAAGGGTCTGCAAATTTTTGAATTGATCCCCCAACAGTGAAACCGCACCGCGACCATAACGACCATAACGACCATGACCACAGGGATCACCACGAGACCACTAGGACCCAGACGAACACAACACGAAAACCAGTTGATCAGGAGAAAACCACAAGGAGACCATGAGGAGAAGGGGATGGGGCCCTTATCTCTGGAGGGCTCGCTTTACTCTGAGAGCCGAGGCGGCTCCCTAAACCCGGACATCCTACAAAGGCCTTGTGAACCCCGAGCCGCCTTCCAGACCCCCTGATAGACCCCTCAACAGGCCTCAGAATTCCTAGGTCCTAAACCCCATGTGAACCCCCAGGACTCCACGCACTCTATTCTGAGCCCCTCTAAAGCCTCATCGGCCTAAACCCTAAACACTACAAACTGGGGAGCCGGGGGGCCAGGTGGTGACCTGGGGAAACTCCTTCCATGGCGGGGACAGCCGACGCATCCAGGATCAGCTGACCGATGTGAGACGAATTCAGGCGCGTTTGGGGCGTTCAGGGCTTCGGGGTTAGGGCCGACCTGCCATGGTGGGGAGGATCTCGTACATTACAGATTTTATCGGGCGTCTTTGAGTGTTTCATAGGATTGTGCGATGCTTGTTCAGTTTGCTAACCATCGGGTTATTTAACGGTTAAGAAGGTTTGATTTTGCTTCCTTGTTCTTGAGGATGCCACCGGACAAGCAAAGCAAGTACACTGGAGGGCACAGGTTAACCCGCACAGTAAGCCCGAAGCTTCTCCAAGCCCCACTCCGCTCCCTGTACGTAAACAGCCAGCTGTTTTTGCAGGCATCCGGGTGTGCGTTTGCTGCAATCCTGGCCGATGGTACAGTGGTGACCTGGGGCGATGAGGCCAGGGGGTTTAGGGTACCCCAAGCCCTAAGACTGTCATTTTCTTCAATCCTAGACAGGTGTAGACCCCCCCGCCCCCACTCCCACCCCAACCGAAGATTCTGCTCAAAGACAATATGCTGACTGAGTTCCGGATCGACCCCATATCAGGGTAAGAATCATTGTGACGGTGGGCGTCGGGTGGCAGCTGCGCAATGACACTCCCCTAGAGCGACGGCGACCTAGATCACCTGTGGCACCGCAAAGCTTTGATGCCTAAATCCTGGGTTTAGGGCTGGGGTTTAGGGTTTAGGATTTGGGACCCTATACCCTACATGTTAACTCCTAAGCTGCTGCCTTCAACGATGCGAGTGTCAGCGGCAGCCGAGGGAGTTTCCATGAAGCTGCATCTACAATGAGCTGTAGTGCAGGGTTCATATAGGTTTATAAGGTTAGGGTTACCGGGCTCTTTGCAAGCAGTACGGCTCAGGGCCCTTATACAACCCCTACGGGAACCCTTTAAAGGAGCCCAAACGATTAAGTGCCCTGTAGCCTTGAGAAAAATGCTTCCAGGGGGCCCCATGGAATTCTTATTAGAGTTATGATTGCGACTCTTGGAGAGGCATCCTTAGGGTTTAGGGTTTAGGCATCTGGGTTGGGTACTGCCCCCACCCTGTAACAGTCTATATTGGGGGTCATATTTGCGGGCCACAAGTTTGTGTTACAGAGTGGGGGCAGTGCCCAACGTCTAGGCCTGCATGAGCTTTGCAAGATAGACATATGTAAGGCCTGTCCTCGGCGTGGTTTGACGTTGTGAATGCTGAATCGGGTCCCTAAAACCCTCAGCCCGGCCATACCTGCGCCCTACACCCTAAACCTTGTAGACCCCCCAATCGCGACTGTTTTCCCAGACCTGCGGCGGGGATAGCAGTCGAGTTCGGCATCTGCTGCGGAACGTCCAGTCACTGCAGGCCGGTAGGCATCTTGAGAGATCTTCGGAGCATTTAGAGTCTAGAGGCCGGGTCTAAGGGTATAAGTAACTCCTCGGAATTTGTAGTGTTCCTGGTGTTTCCCCGGCAATACACTACGGAATCAGGTCGGATTTCAGGGTCTGTCGAGCGCGACTAGCTGGTAGTTTGTCTTCGTAGGCTTCGTCTCGAGGCCTCTCTCTTTTCCGGATTAGAAAGGATGCAGTATATGTAGCGGTTTATAAGTTATTACTATTGCTATTTGTATGATTACTAGTATTATTACTACTTTTATTAGTATGTTCCAGCTTCTAGAGCCGATGAGAACTGGGTTGCCCAGGCATCATATGGTGCCTTTGCGGCTATCCTGAGCGATGGCACAGTGGTCACATGGGGTGTCTTTGACAGCAAGCCCGTCTGTAGGTTTTCGAACTCACGGGTGTCTCCACTGCAATGGTCCCTAATGCTCGGAGAATCCGGTGAAGAGAGAGAGAGAGTGAGAGAGAGAGAGAGGGAGAGAGAGAGAGGAAGAACAGTGTACATAGTATATGTTTGTACTTATGCATATGCACATACATAAACATGCAGTACAGGTAATCTTGTATATGGGTAACCAGCATAGTGTATTTGTGCACATGTGAGCAGCTACATACTTGAGGGCAGCATGTAGAGTCTAGGCATGCTGATGGCACCATCGCGGGTGCTTTGAGACAACAGCTGCAATTCCATGAGCATAGCATAAAAAGTGCATGCTGAGCCACACCAAGGAAATTCCTACCATGGTGGGAACAGCAGCAGCGTGCAGCACGAACTCCACAGCGTCACTCAGGCCCCGCAGTCACAGCTTCCTGCTGAGGTATTAGAAGCAAGACCACCCCGGAGCCGATTAATATAGGGGCCTGAATAGCTACCAATGCTGTTTTGGGGGTTCCTTATTATAACTATGGTATGATACACCCCAAGACCCTAGTCTTCTAAGGCCCCTATACTACGTGGCTTTCCGGAACCGCACTAGAGGGTTTCCATGGGGTTTTGGGTGTTATGGGGCTTAAGGTTCAGGCTTTAAGGTTCAGGGTTTAGGGGTTTACAGATTTGGTGCTGAGGGTTTGGGGTTCAGGTTTTTAGAGTTTAGGGCTTCCTTTGAGATCGGGTCTTCAATTGAGTTCGGTTCAGGTACCTTCAACCCATGCCCCGATAAACTTCTACACCCTGACGCAGTGCACTACCTGCTCAAGACCATCGAGGATTCATCGACTTTGCACGCTGTTTTCGGATTTGTCATGTGTTTGTCATTAGGTTTTATTGGGCATATAGCGGCAGATGCCAGGTTCGCTGATTTTCCCGCACGTGAAGGCTGCTACTTCGGGTTTGTCATGAGTAGCCCTTGAACCTCTCAGTTATAGGCCCTCAATATACTTATAGCACACACAACATGCGTCAACGACCCTGTGTTAGTTACTACTGTTTGGTTCTTAGTAGGGGATGGGGGAATGAGTTATGGAGACCACTACTGGGGATTATATAGGGACTACAGGGATCCATTCCCCCATTCTCTACTAAGCATCAGGGAGACTGTGGTCCCTACTTGGAGGATCCCAGGGGACTTAGTAAGTAAGGTTATAAGTACCCTAATTGGGGTTATAAGTATAGTTACCCTAATTATAACCCTAGTTACTACGTCCCATGATCCTTTAAGTATAGTAGCTGTTGGGCTGGTTGGGACTCAGGCTTCGGAGCATGCTAGGATCAGTAAAGCAGGAGGTCTTCGTTCTCGGGGTTGACCCTTCGAGGGCCTCAGGTTTTCCGGCTTAGGGAGTCTTTGGGTTTACATGGAACCCTCGATCCTGAACCCTAAACCCTAAGAGCTAAGGATAAACCCTAAACCCCATGTAGGGTCCAGGGTTACGGTATCTTTTAGATCATTGTGTTAAAAATCCACCGAAAATCCTGTTCGAAGAATTACTTCCCGTATAGTAGGATACACTGAAGTCGCCTATCCCCGACTGCAGGGGCTTTGATAATTGGAAAAGGGTTTGGGGGTCATATTCTACTATAATACTAATGAGGACCACCCCCCAAAAAAAAGCAAAAAAGCTTCTAATTTATTTAGGCCCCTACATTACATGGTCCAGGGATTCGAATTGAGTGTCTCCCGCCAGATTCAAGCCTCTGGCTGCGCCTTCGCGGCGATTCGTGCGGATGGAAGCCTCGCCACTGGTCAGAGACTGCTAGGAGTGTAGACAGTGTAGGCACCTCTTTGTTTCCGATGGTATACATATATATATATATATATATATATACTCGCCTAATTATCTAGTTCGTATTGTATGGCTAAGCTTTACCTTGCACTGTCAGCGTTAAAGCCGTCTCGGTTCTCCACTGCCCCTAAAACCATTAAACCCCTAAATCCTAGACCCCATGACCCGACCACGCCAGACCTTAAACCGTAAAGCCCAGAGCAGCGAACGGCATCCCCCAAAACCCTACTTGGAGGATCATGGGACTTAGGAAGTAAGGTTATAAGTACCTTAATTAGGGTTATAAGTATAGTTACCCTAAATATAACCCCAGTTACTAAGTCCCATGATCCTTTAAGTAACCTCAAGGCTCGACCTGTAACCTGCTGCAATTGCGATCGAGGGCCTCTGGGGTTTAGGGTTTAGGGCATTAGGGTTTAGGGTTTATCGTTTAGGGTTTATACTGCTGGTTGGGGGTTCCTCATACTGGTAATAATTATGCCGTGCGACCCTCCCCAAACCCTACTCTAGTTCTTCAGGCATTGACGTTATGCCGAGAAGCTCCAAACGCTGTTCAGGTCCTAAGGCAATTTGTGGTAAAAAGGCTCCCGTCTTCCGAAACCTCGGTCAGGTCACCTGGGGCGATCCCCGGTGCGGTGGCGATAGCCAGTGACCAGATTGCAGAAGATAACGGGGGTCGGACGAGTTAGCAATGATATCCCCTGTTAGGGAAGTACGCGGCATACGATAGTATGCCCCAAACCTTGTTCAAGAATGACAGAAGGCCACTCTGATGACTCCTTCGCCGAGGGTGGTTAATGCCTCCTGTGGCAGAGATTGTCGTGGGACACGGTGCTTTAGCATCGAAGGTGTATCAAGCCGGAAAGCCCTAAAACCACAAGCTGAAAGCCCCAGCCCTACGGCCTTAAGCGGAGTCCGAAACGGATTTGAAGGTTTCGGCGCTCAGTCTTTGTTCCGTTACCCGGATGCGAGGCATGTGCAGCCGATGCTGCAGAAGGTGCAGCAGGCTCACCCATGGGACACGCAGAAACTTCAGAGTTGTTGTACTATAGGGGCCTGAAAAACTAGAATAGGCTTTGGAGGTATATTATACTATATTGGAGACAAAAAGGAACCCCCAAAAAACCCACTCTAATTATTAAGGCCCCTACATTAGGTTTTTGTCATGGAGGCTGTCAGTGTTTCTGATTCTTGTGGTGTCTTCCACACTACTTTGGAGGTTGTGTAAGGGCTTTAGGCTTTAACAGGAGTTTACGGATTACTTGAAGCATCAGGGGATTTGGTAAGTGTCGTTCACTGATGCAAGCAAGAGACGAGATTTCGTGCAGGGTTGGGCAAGCAGGACATGACTCCCAAAAGATATGCCGGCTCGCACATGATGAGCATATCACAGTACGTCAGATTATATTCTACCAGCTGATGATAGACGATTGATAGACAATTATCATCGTATGTACATCATAGTGTAGTATGGCATATGCTGGGCTTAGTTTCTGGAGTGGTCGACAGCCCGGGAGGTTTAGGGTGGTTTTATCTTTCAGCCGCTTTCTGGTGCCTTGCGGGCACGACCAATCGTCTTTTGGGCAGGCACGATGCTGCCATCACTGCAACTACAATGCAACCCATTACATTGCAACATGAATTCCGCAAAGACCCACCCGACCGTGGCCAGACCTGCAAAGCTACACCCCTGCCCCAGACCGTACAACCTGACCTAAATTCTTTCATCCCCCAACCCTAAGCCCTAAATCCTAAACCCGAAACCCTATAAAACTTGAGCCCCCGAGCTGACAGGTTCGGGGCTCTTGGGGCGCATTTGCAGCGATCCTGTCGGATGGTTCCGTGGTGACATGGGGCGATGCGACGCTGGGCAGAGGCTTCATCCAGGATCGTAGCATTATCGTAATATGGCGGCTTAAATACATGCCAATACAATTTTTGGGGCTCCTTATTCTTATTATAGTATAATGGGCCCCAAAACCGTATTCTAGTTACTAAGGCGCCCATATTACGGGGCTCTGAAGCCTACACGATGTATGGGGTTATTACAACATGATTACAGGTGTTTATGATGGTTGTGGTTCTGCGGAGATTGAACATGGTTTGTTGCTGTGATCTAGTCGCAGTAGATTTCGAGACTCCCTGCATGGGATTCTGTTCAGCGTGTGAATTGCCGGGCCCGCAGTTACAAAAGACATGATCGACAGTGGCAGAATCGTCGGAGAAAGCGGCCTTGGTTACCCTGGGTCACCTTACTAGATGCTCCATTACACCCTGAACGCTGAGCAAACGTCATCTTTGAGCCCTTCTCAACCCTAAACTCCACAACATTTGAGGAAGCAGGGTGGTGATTGCAGCGGCGTGGAGTCTCAACTGCGCAATGTCCAGGAAATCCAGGCAAGGAAATGGTTTAGGGCTGAGGGTTACAATGGTTGAGGGTTTAGGGATTTGGGGACTAGGGGGTTTGGGATTCAATTAGGGGTTTAGGATTTTAGGGGTTCAGGGTTTAGGGGTTTGGGGTTTAAGGATGTAAGGGTTTAGGACTAGGATTCGCTTGATCATATGGAAGAGGAGGAAGGAAAAACCGTCGAGGGGTTCGGATGTGTGGAGGGCGGCGAGCCCAGGGCACCCCAACCCGAAATCCCAAACGCCGAATATCAGGGCTCTGTGAAAGGGCATATCATAGCATAACTATATCTACGAATCTACGCACATGTGCAGACGCAACACAAGTTTGACTGGACGAGCCCGGGAGTGCTGAATGTGGACGTGCTGGCATGCGGTGTTGTTCTAAATGTGGGCTTTTCGCTGTCAAAGAGGGGGCTCTCGTAAGTTCAATTAGTAAGCCCACCCACCGCCAGAGTCACTAAGTATCCATGCAAGTTAAGCAAGTCAAAGGGTTCCCGCACCGGTATAATCAGTTGCGTGTTTCAGTATGTCGCTCAGTTTATGTATTCAGATGTTCTGTTTAAGACAGATACCAAATGATTTCCTTCGGGGAAGATACACAGCTGCACCGAGAAGATCCTTTTTTGAAGCCCGGGCTTCATTGCTGGGAGATTCCGGGGGGCTCAAATCCTGACGCCTGAATCAGGGTTGGGGACACAACATCTTCGACCCCTGGTGGGCACCCACCCTCGCACCCTAGACTTAAATCCAAAACCTTAAATCCTCAGTCCGAAAATCTAAGCCTCAAATGCTACATCCACCCTCAACCCCTGCAGTGAGGCCACGGGCTGCGCCTTTGCAGCCATCCTGGAGGATGGTAGTGTCGTCACCTGGGGCCACCCGGAGCATGGAGGAGACAGCAGCCATGCACCTCGCCTTGAGGGTTCAGGGTTTTGGGGTTTCTTTCTGTACAGGATTCTTTAACGGAGGACTGCAAAGGTTATCTAATGAATATCGGTTTCGGGCGTCGTTTTTCTTTGCAGGTTTTTTGAAGGATGACTACAGGGATTTTATATGAGTTAGAGTGCCGTTATGGCTGCCACAACAACAACAACAACTAGTACTACTACTACTACTACTACTACTACTACTACTACTACTACTACTACTACTACTACTACTACTACTACTACTACTACTACTACTACTACTACTACTACTACTACTACTACTACTACTACTACTACTACTACTACTACTACTACTACTACTACTACTACTACTACTACTACTACTACTACTACTACTACTACTACTACTACTACTACTACTACTACTACTACTACTACTACTACTACTACTACTACTACTACTACTACTACTACTACTACTACTACTACTACTACTACTACTACTACTACTACTACTACTACTACTACTACTACTACTACTACTACTACTACTACTACTACTACTACTACTACTACTACTACTACTACTACTACTACTACTACTACTACTACTACTACTACTACTACTACTACTACTACTACTACTACTACTACTACTACTACTACTACTACTACTACTTTACTTGTTCTTCTACTACTGCGACGACGACTGCTGCCACTGCTACTGCTACTGCTACAGCTACTGCGACCGCGACCGGGACCGCGACCGCGACTACGACTACGACGACTATGGCCACGACTACCACTGCCATTACAACTACCACTACCAAGACTACTACGACGATGGATGCTGCTGCTATCATTCGTCTTTTTCGTAATGTCGTAAGACTAGGGCCATTACCTTTATTTGTATGTTATACCAGTATGACTGACCGTCCGGCCAGGTCTCAGCTTCAGGGAGGTTTAGGGGTTGCATGGGAAGTTGCGGGCTCGGGTTTTCGGCTGAACCGATGAAGGGGTGTTTTTTCCGGGTTGTACATGGTTGTACTACAACCTATCTGGTTCAATGTAGAATCGTAGCCCCTATCAGCAGCTCCAAACCCAAAGCCCTCTAAGCCTTAAGCCAATGCAACCCCTTCAAGCCCCTCAACACGCGAAACCAGAAGGTAAACCCTAAACCCGGGAGCCCTAGTAGCTCTGAGCCTTTGAAGAACGAAGGTGAAGGACCAGCTCGACAACCAGATGCTGTGTCCCATGACATAGGTTTTACAGCATTGGGCTCGTCGACGGGCAAGGTCTGGAAGAGCGGTTGAACGGGGTTCCTTTCTAGGCGTCCGTGCAACAGTTCAATAATGATCCTACTATCCTGGGTTCTATATACAGGCCGGTCATTTGCTGAAAGCTTAGGCCGTGCAGGAATAGTTGCTCTCTCAGTAGCCCTTTCCCGTGACCCAAGCTTGCAATCCAAGATGGGCGGGTCAACAGGCCTCGGCCCTTCCTTTCCTTGCGACGAGGGGCTGCTAGTACATTTACAACTTCGTTCCAACGTTTCTTGTGCATTTTCCTTGCTTCTGGGCAGTGAATATCGCTGTGCGTTCTGAGTGATGGCCACTAAGATGGTGGCTGAGCCTCAGAGCTAACTAGCTGAACACGCTGGGACAGAAGCAACTGTTGCACGGTGAGCTCGGCTCCTGAGACAGAGGCGTCCCTTACGCATGGTGACGCTTGATTCGTTCGTCCTGGCACAATGCATCTTCAATCTATAGGGGCTTGGACTGACTTTCAGCTCGACTGTTTCATGCAAAGTAAACACCAATGAACATCAAAAGACCCTGGCCCAAAACACTTTATGAAAGACATCCTTACGTTGTTGGGTTTGCCTCATTTCAGTCTGGCCTCTATGGTACAGCCTTGCCCTGCGAGGTCTGCGCACAGTTCCTACTGCGGCCACAAAAAGCTTGCGAAGCCTCAAAGCCCGAACCTTCTTCAAGGTTTCTAGTGCCATAAACTCCTAAGCAAAACCTCAAACTCCCAGAAGGCCAGTGCATGCTGCTCCTCGCTTTCATGGCTACCCCTATGGCAGCCCAACTGTGGGAGCGTCCTCTCGAGACCCTGCAGGCCCGAGCCCTAGACCCTACCTGGACCCTAAGGAACCTACCTTTTTAGGGCCCCCTAGTATGATTTCTGTATATAAGTCCTTAAAAAACCCTACTTGAAGGATCATGGGACTTAGTAACTAGGGTTATACTTAGGGTGACTATACTTATAACCCCAATCAGCTACTTAAAACCTTACTTACTAAGTCCCATGATCCTGCAAGTAGACCTTACCCTAAACCGCAAAACTACGTCTGCATGTCGTGTTGTACACTCGCAGCTTCCCTGGCCAACTGGGGGCTGTGGTAAAGCGTTATAATCGTCGTCAGGACTTGAACGAGGCTTTGACTTAGTAGCTGGGCGGGTGACCTTTAGCATTTAGCTTCTGTGGGGCTTGTAAGAGTGATAGAATCCTACCATATGTGAAATTAAACCTTGTTTAGGCGAGGATAGGCAGCCCTGAAAGGTTCGTGCCGCCTGATCCGGCTCGCATTCCTGTGTGTAGTGCCGGGCCGTGCTTGCACGTGTGCTTTTATTTTTCCATGGCGGGGATGAAGAAAAATGCTCTCTTCCTGGTGGAGGACGGGATGCTTGCAAAGTTTGGTGGTCAGGGCACTCTCAACGAAGTTCCAGGTCATTACCTGCAAAGTTCGCGGTCTTCGGAAGTTCTTGGCTTGATGTTGAATCCGAAATTGACCGCAATTTCGGGGCATAATGGGAGCCTAGGATTAATGGTAGCTCGTGTTGTTTTTCTGTTTCCGGAGGTGCCCCCCCCCAGATAATTATGTTGTTTACACTGTTAGCATCGCAATGTAGGTTTCCAGTGTAGATAAACAGCAGACATGTCGTTTTGCACTTTTTGCGAAGGCCTGAGACGCTGAACAGCTTTAATCTTGTTTTTTTTGGCAAGGTCCGAGGACACTATTAGTCCGAGGACACTATTAGTGGGGCCGGTGTCGCCCTTTTAAACTCCTCTCGCCCCTGCCTTTTTCTGATTTCCGGGCCCCGAGATTGCGTCTTTAATCAAGGGGGTTTCATGAATCATTAATTAATCCTAGGTTACCAGTAGGGCGTTGTGTTGAGGCCATCCAGTTTGTATAGCTTCCAAGCCATGCAAAAGGACCCGGTCTTTGGAGTCTTTGGCGTCTTCATCAAAAACACCTTCATTGAGATGGTGCCTGTTGTGGTCGAAGGTGCCTTGCGCGGCATTTGAGAACCTGCCAAAGCCTGTCTGCAAGGGCCCAAGCTCTTGTTGTGATACGTGGTCCTTCTCGAACATTACGGATGCATTCGCTACGTAGGGTAAGCCTGATAGTACGCACGCGTTTGGCATAGGAGCTGGAACGTGCTTTAGGACAATCATCTCGACTGGGGACCACTGGTATCTACCGAGCTGACCGACCCACGCACGTTTGAGTACTGTGGGGCTTGGTGATCTATGATGACCACATTGCAATAAGGTTGCTTTTCAGGCTGTTGCTGCTTTTGAGGTTTAGCGCCTCCCGACATAGTGACATAGCACCCCACACCCTAAACCCTAAACCCTTTCAGGCTAACCAGGCTGACGGCGAAGGGCCTCCAACAAAACCTGACACCAAGCTTGAAACCTAGGCCAGGCTGTGGAGTGCTGGGTTGTAGGGCCACCAGACACGATTGGCATCGCAAATGCGCGGCAGGTCCAGAAATCCGACGATCGCGATCAGAACCCGAGTTGACGCCGCCAAGGCCGAGCATCTCATACTGCATCTGTTTTGTTCTTATTGCTGCCGCCCTTCATGTTCCGTTCCTGAGTTACACAGTTCCTCGAGAGGTGTTACGTGATGTGGCGTCACGATGGGCTAGTTGTTATACAGATCTTTTGCTGTAGTTACAAGTTCATTTCCTGTGGGCACAGCCTAGCATCCTCAGTACATACAAGTTGCATTGTCATGTTTGTCGTTGTTGATGATGTTCCCTCATCATCAGTGGTCTGCTGCTACGACGACGACTAGTGTGATTATTATATTGCTACTACGACTACATCTACTGTCTGCTATCTACTATCTACCATCTACTATTCACTCTCTACTATCTACTATCTACTACTACTCCTTCTACTGCTACTACTACTGCTACTACTATTTTTCGATTGGACGCTGTGCGAGCGGGCTCAGCACATTGCGGGCGATTGCCGCGGTGCACTCACTTGGGTGTGAAGCTGACTCATTGACCCTGTGGTCTGAGAAGCCCTAAGATGATAAACCGTCTAGAGAATTGGGACTGCGGCCTACATGGCCCTAAGCTGACCGGCAGGGATCAGCGACAAGACGTGCAGCCGTCAACATGATGCCGAGCGCCGCTTCTTCGGTTGTACCTGAAAAGAGAAGACAGTGCATGATGCTCGCGGAGGTGCAGCCATCTGGGTGCAGGCAGTAGGCTGCGGCGCTGACTATCGGCTCTGATCTGTTTTCCGGAACTGCTACTACTACTGCTACTGCTACTACTACTGCTACTACTACCACCACCACGACGACGACGACGACTACTACTACTACCGCTGCTAGTCCTGCTGCTGCTGCTGCCACCTCTGCTGCCACCTCATCATCTGCTGCTGCTGCTAATACAACCTACCACACGACGACGAAGGATACTAACTTACAGCAAACTGACACGGCTGCTCGTTTGTTCTAGCCTAGCGTTGTTTCACGCATCCGCACTTTGTCCTATTAACCCTCGGGAAGGAATGATGCCCGAATAACCTAATGCAACCTTTTTAAAACTATGCGGTAGATAAAACCCAGTCCCTAAACCCTAAACAGAATCCTAGACGTTAAGCTCCAAACCCTAAATCTTAGCAGGGGTTGTTGATCCTAATGGGTTTCTTGATTTAGGTTTCAGGCTTCGTTGTTTAGGACAGCAGTAGCAGCAGCAGCAGCAGCAGCTGCAGCGGAGCAACACCACACACCTCAATACTGCCAACTCATGGTGGTATCCTCGTTTCAGGCACATCTTGTTGCAACACGTGCTGCAGGCTTCAGCTGTCTGAGAATGAGATCGAGCCTGATCCTGTGAACCAGAGTTTGTTTCAAATATGGCAAGCACATCTTGCAAATGCGTGTAAGCCTTGCATCTTCATCAATCGCAAGGGCGACGGTTGCCGCAAGGGGAACTTGTGCTCACATTGTCACTTCTGCACTCCTGCAGAAGCTAAACGGAGAAGGAACCGGTTGTGTGGAGAACGCCGGCAGGCAGCCAATGTCTGAGTAAAGTTCATCGTGGGTGTGTTTGAACTTTGAAGCCGCAAGTCTGGTGATTGGTGGCGTCGTGTCATGTTACATCTCCAGGTGGCAGTCACTCGCGTAAAGCGTCGTGACCGCACCGTGAGTGCTGTGACAAGCAAGCGCCAGATGATTCTCTCTCATTTTTATGCCAGCCGCTCACCGTTCGGTTGTGTTGCAGCGCACCTCGCAAACGAATGCATGCATTGCCTTTTGATGGAGTGAGCCGTGGCTGGTAGAAGCACGCCTTTTCACAGAATGTGTCAGTACTGAGGATGCCCTCTCGCTGCTGAAGTTGAGTTTGGGAAAAGCTTCTGGCACTTGTCGACCTCTCATCTGATTGGTGCTGCTGGTGACATCATTTTATAACTCCGGCATAATAACACTAGCCTACCGAGCGTGGCATGCTTCCGGTGGTGGTGGTGGTGGTGGTGGTGGTGGTGGTGGCGGCTGGCGGGTGGTGGTGTCAATGCTGAGTCTTGTTACAACATGTCAATGGCAAATCATGACGCTCTTGCGAGAATTTCTTGAGTTGCTCGGCTTTATTGAGCCTTGGTCGTCAGTCACAACATAGCTGCCGAACCTTATTCAGCCCTATAGAACTTAGAAGTCGTAGAGTGGAACACAACCTTTGAACCTTGAACCCGTCGCCCGGCAATCCTAACAAAACCGACACCATTTGCTAACCCCCACAAGGCCGCAAGTCAATCAGCTCTAGACTCGAGAAGCCCTTCGGCCCCCACTAATTACGCCTTAGCCATCACTAAGATTATTGAAAATCTAACGGCCCCAAACTCTGAAGCCTCAAACGACTTCCCTAGAGCCTTGCCAAGGGTAACTAGGTGGCGAAGCAGTGGAATGTACCTACTATTATGTTGTCATTTTGGGATTTGTTCATGGTGCGTTGATTGCCGCCCAATCTCCAACATGTGTGTGCTTTAAAGACCCCCACTGCGAAGGCCCTGAAGACCTGTAGCGCCGGTAGCATCCAGAAAAAGGCTAAGCATCTGTCAACAAACATCGGGTCTAGGCTTAAACAGCTCAGGATGCTTTCAGGTAGGGTCTATCAGCAAAGAGTAATACCCAGTGGGGCTGACACTGCTTGGAACGTTGAAAGGTCTTAGGTTAAGCCCTGAAGCCTCCAAGCCTTCTGAGCTTGCCGGTACTAAACCCCACTGCGACTCCAAACCCTACATGCGAAGCCCTATACTCGATAATTTCTATTAGATGACGTAACGTATAACATATAGTGGATAGTAGACAATATGTATATATGTGTATATAAGTAAAGAAATGGCTCTATTAGCCCTATGAGCCGAATTGATGAGGTCGGCGCCGCGAAAATCGGTGAGCTTGTGGCACGTAGCTCCCTGGCCCCACGCGAGGCCATCCAAGCGGCTTGGGATTTATGAGGGTTTCATGGGGCCTCATCGGGGCCCCTAATATAGGGGCCTTATTAGTTTGAATAGGGTATGGGGGTATATATCTATTCCAAAGTTATAAGCCTATTCCAATCTTTAAGGTCCCTGCATTAGAAATAGCACCGTTATCATACTCTGATTCAGGTACCAAACATCCCAAACTTGTGGTGGTTTTCCTTTGGGTGCTTTCTAAACCCTAACCCCTTGAGCCCTAAACCCTATAATAAATCCTACTCATAACACCCCTCTGAGCAGGTCCACCTCAGCTACAACTGCATTGGCGACAGGGGTGCCGTCGACCTGCTGCAGGTAAGGGCTCCTCAGGGATCAGGGTTTCGGTTGGTTCCTTTTAGGGTTTCCTTTAAGGGTTCCTTTTAGGGTTCCTTCTGGGGTCCCGAAGCGAAACGTTGGTTTAAAGTTTAGGGTGTAGGATTCAGGGTGAGGCAGCCCACCCCGAAACGACCCCGAGATAACAGACAGTAGAGAATATAGAATACATATATGGACTCTATAGAGCACAAAAACTCATATTGCATATGACATGAGATATGACACAGCACACTGTATAGATCATAGCATAGTTTCCAGTTTTTACATGTTATGCAACATGGAAAGTATAAGAGCATTGAATTACAGAGTATAGAATACAGAGTAATACAGAATACCGAGTGCATACACACAACATGTACTGTATGATTTGTGGTATACAATATTAAATACATAAGTTCAACACATATTGCACACTATGCGACATACCAACTGCCGGTATTCCAAAAAAACTGGCATGCTAATGCACTAGTATACTAATAGACCCTATATACGAATATGCTATGTTCCTATGTGTGTATATATATATATATACATACACAGTTGAAGTGCAACATGTACTATGTAAGTTCAACTTCGTGTTCCCGAAGTCTTCTTGACATCTTGGCGGGATCTTGGGCATCACCGACAGCAAACGCTGAGTTGAATGTGAACGCCATAATCAACCCGCAGAGCCTCTAAACCCTGCGCCCTAAATCTCAAACTCTCAACCTTAGTATTCTCATATCGGGAGCCCTTGTAGATCCTGTAGAGCAACCTCAGGAATTTGTTAGGGTTTCCATTGGCTTTCCCCGATTTTGGCAGGGCCCCTCCGGTCCGGCAGAGCCTTTGCAAACTCAGCGCCTGAGGGCCTTAAAGGGAACTCCAAAAAGTTGGAATATGGATTAATGGTAGGATCCCCTATAATTTACCTTAAAGGGGTTACGATAATGATATTCCAACTTTGTGGCTTCTACTGTAGGGTGTAGAGCCGCGTCATTAGGGTTTAGGGTTCTTGGAGTGTTCTTGGGGTGTAGAGCCGTGTAGGGTTCATGGGTAGGAGAAAATGGGCCAGGGCGATAGTCCCAATTTTTTCAGTAGGAGTTTAAGTGCCGATCCCCAAAACAAAACCCGCACTTCTCCAAAGCCTACACGTGCCTGGGAAGAGCCTTAGCCTGAACCCGAGAAAACTAAACCCAACTCCTCCCATGCCACTCCGATAGCGACTCCGGTTTGGAACATGGCCTCGCTATGATTTGGAGTGAATGTATCCGAGCATTTGGTCTCCCGCAACCCTAAACCGCATGAAGCCCCATAACGCTGACAAGTCCTACTTGTAAACAAGCCCCGACTAAGCGGTGTCACACATCCCGCAGGCGATTGCAAAGAGCTCCAGGCGAGCCACTTCTGCCCTCGGAAGTCGTTTGTGGGCTTTAGAAGGGTTTTGCGTGTCAGGCTGTATAGAAAGCTTGCTGAGCAGCAGAGCACGTCTGAGCCCTAAATACATGGCTCTTCAAGAACACGACTGATGTCTTGCTTGGCTGCCCATGAAACCTGTTGCCGAAAGCTTTAGTCTCACTAGAGACGCCCAGCTGCAATTCTTGATGCAGGTTTTGGTTTTATCATTCTGACATTTTTGAACATGGTCACGGTGATGGTTAAGATCATTAATGAATGTGATGAAGCTTTTCAGCGGCCTGGATGTTCCCGCATTGTCCGCAAGTTCCGGGCTGGCAAGAATCCACCCAGACAAACAGACCCATGTATATCTTTGCACCTATCACTCCTCGGATCCAGTTAGGGCCACACTGGCTTCATTCCCGAAGTCCTACTTGCGACAAGAAGCCCATGGACGGGCAAAGCACTTGGTGGTGACACGAAATGATGGGCCCTGGACGGTGCAAAAAGCAAAGCGGGGCACAACAGAACTTAGGAGTGTGCCGATTTGTTTCGGATGCCTTGATCAGGTATCCCTGCACGAACGAGAGGAGACCGGGTGGGTTTGGGCCTGCACTTCGGACATGGCCTCAAAGCAGGGGCCGAATCAGTTCAATGAAATGAAGGCCTGTATACAGTGCTTCAACTTAGACGGAACATACCACGACAAGCTTAACCATTGTGCACATTGCTATCGTTGAGGTTTGTAGTACGGTAGGGAGCATTGAGTTTTATTTAAGGACCACGTGAACCCTTGAAGAGTTTTCACGTTCCGTATCGCGTGCATCGTTTCAGTTTGTGAAATTTCCCTGTCTTGAAGCGCCGTGTTGACCTGTCCTCATGCGAGCGTAGTCTTTTGAGTTAGATCTGAATACACCCTGTACGACAGACGTCTTGGGCTCAGACCAAAAAGTGCGCTCGTAGTGTGGTTGGACACTCACTAATCCAGTTCCTGCTTCAAACTGGTAGCGGAGCTGTGAGGACAACCACTAGTGTTTCACCCCCGTAGAGCCTGTGGTCCGGGGTCCGTTGGGTAGAGTAGTGATAGTCGCGGCGCAAAGGCCCCTTCTATCTGAAGCCATGAGCGTGGCAGGTTTGCGTTACCAGCCCAATCTCTGGTCACAGAACCTGAGCCCTGCAGAAACGAAAAGCGGTTCGTACATATACGACGGTACGGCTGCTGGCTTCCACGATTGGTGCTTCCGGACACAGATCCGCGTGCTGCAACATAAGGAGAAGCAGCGGCGTGAAGCTCTTAAGGACCTGCGATTTGCCGAGTCGGCAAGGGCCAAGAGCGAGTCACCAAGGAAGTGGCGTGGCAGGGCAAGTCAGGGGACCAGTGCATCGCCCACAGATGGTGATGGAAGCAGCGGTATACCCGCCAGTCCGTCCAGCGCAAAACGGACTAAGCCCGCGTCCGAGGCAGAAGATGAGGATGCGGAGTCGTTGCCGTCGCACCCCAGCCAAGTGGCGGGCGACGATGAGCAGGAGCCGGACACAGATCCGGCGGTGTACACCTTGCAAGACATTAAGGACGAGTCGCTTGATATGAGCGAATGCGTTAGCAAGATTTTGGAGGGTCTCCGAGGAGACGCCTTTTGCATTGCTCGCGACGTCGGCCTGGAACGTCTGCTTCGCCATGATGGCGTCGACTACCTGATAGAAGAAATCAGGAGGCAAGCTTTCCCTCTTCAATCTGAAGAGGCGTCCGAACTTTTCCGTCAGGGACAGCTCCTGACAGGCCCACTTGCAAAGCAACCCGGCGAGCCTATGTTGTCTTACATAGCCCGCCGAAAGCGGTGGTGGTCGACCTTGCGTGAG